AGACATCTTCTAAATGGTTAGCCACTTAAAACATTCTGAATAGCAGGGGAGCCCTGTTTGATATAGTGCTAGAAGATGAGCCCCTCAGGTTGAAAGGCACTAAAAATGTGATTGGAAAGAGCTAATTCCTCAAAGTAGAGTTGATCATAATGATGTGAATGGAGCAAAGCTTTTGGGACCTTCATTTGTTGAGGGGGTATAACTCAAAATGAGAAGAAGCAGCTGCAAATGTCTATCAATAATTAGAAAGTACAATGTATAAAGTAGGAATCTAGGAATATTGGAAGTCATCAAAAATGAAATAGAATGCATAAAAAATGATGCCCTGGACCTTAGTGAGCGGAAATTGACAGGTATTGGTTATTTTGAATCAGGCAATCATATTATTTAGTATGTCAGGAATGGCGAATTGAAGAGGAATGGCCCTGTATTCATCATCAAAAAGAGCATTTCAAGACTATCTTGAAGTACAGTGCTAACTGCAATGGATAATATCCATGCACCTACAAGGAGCCCTGGTGTAGCGCTGTGGGTTAATGTGCTGGACTGCAAGATTGTTTGAATCACAATGTCAGCAGTTCAAGCTCACCAGCTGCTTCTTGGAAATCCTATACAGGGTCACTATGGGTCGGAACTGACTCAATGGCAGTTAACAACAACAAGGAAAACCAGTAAATACCACTGTTATTAAAATTTATGCCAACCACCACTAAAGCCAGTGATGATGAAATTGAAGAATTCTACCAACTTCTTCAATCTGAAATGGACCAAACATGCAAGCAAGATGCATTGAAAATTACTGGTGATTGTAAAACAAAAGATGGAATCAAAGAGGAAGGATCTATAGTTGGAAAATATGGCCTTGGTAATAGAATTGATGCTGGAAATCATATGATAGAATTTTGCAAAAGATATGACTTATTCATTTCAAATACCTTTTTATAACAACACCAGGTCTAATACAAAGGAATCAACTTGGTTACATCTGTGGGAAGAAACTATGAAGAAAATCAGTATCATCAGTCATAAAAGATCAAGGGTAGACTGTGGAACATACCATCAATTGCTCATATGCAAATTCAGGATGAAACTGAAGAAAATTAAAGCAAGTTGACAAGAACCAAATATCATTGAATATTTCCCACCTAAATTTAGAGACCATCTCAAGAACAGATTTGATGCATTAGACACTGATGATAGAAGACCATAAGAGTTGTGTGATGATATCAAGAACATCATGCAGAAAGAAAGCATAAAGGTCATTAAAAAGACAGAAAAAAAAGTAAAGACCAAAATGGATGTCAGAAGAGACTCTAAAATTTGCTCTTGTAGGTAAAGTGAGTAGAAGAATTGAAGAAGTAAAAGAACTGAACAGAAAATTTCTAAGGGCAGCTCAAGAAGACAAAGCCAAGCATTATTACAAAATGTGTAAAGACCTAGAGACACAAAACCAAAAGTCCATCTTAATTTGAATGAAAAATTCAAGACTTGAGTTGCCATATTGAAGGGATTCTATGGGATAAAATATTGAGTGATGCAAGAAGCATGAAAAGAAGATGGAATCCACCGTCACTGTATTAGAAAGAAATGGTGAATGTTTAACCATTTAAAGAGGTACCATATGATCAATAACTGATGGTATTGAAGGAAGGAGTCCAAGCTGTACTGAAGTCATTGGTGAAAAACACTCCTTTAATTGACAGAATACAAACTGAAATGTTTTTTTAAAAAACTGATGCAGTGCTGGAGGCACTCACTTGTCTATGCCAAGAAATTTGGAAGACCTGGCCAACCTATTGAAAGAAATCTGTTGTGTGCCCCTTCCAAAGAAAGGTAACTGAACAGAATGTGGAAATTATCCAACAACATCATTAATATCCCATGCAAGTAAAAATTTGCTGAGGTAATTAAAACATGGTTAAAGCAGTGTGTTGATAAGGAGCTGTCAGAAATTTAAGCTGGATTCACAAGACGTAGAGCAAAAGGTATAATTGCCGACATCAGATGGATCTTGGCTGAAAGCAGAAAATACCAGAAAGATGTTTGCTTGTGCTTTATTGACCATGCAAAGACATTTAATTGTAGATCATAACAAAGTATGGATAACATTGCAAAGAATGGGTATTCCAGAAAATTTCATTGTGCTCATGAGGAACCTGTACATAGACCAAGAGGCAATCATTTGAACAGAAAGAGGGAATGCTGAATGGTTTAAAATCAGGAAAGGTGTGTGACTGGGTTGTATTTCACCATTTTATTCAAACTGTATGATGAGCAGATAATCCTAGAAACTAGATTATATGAAGAAGAACATGACATCAAGATTGGAGGAAGACTTGTTAACAACCTGCGATACACAGATGATACAACCTTACTTACTGGAAGTGAAGAGTACTTAAAATTCTTGCTGACCAATATCAAAGATCATAGCCTTTAGTATGAATTGCACCTCAATGTAATGTATATAACAATCCTCACAACTGGACAATAAATAACACCATAGTTAAAGAGGAAACTATTGAAGTTGTCAAAGACTTCATTTTACTTGGATCCACTATCAACTCTCAAGGAAGCAGCAGTAAAGAAATCAAATGCCATACGTATTGCATTGGGTAAATCTGCTCCAAAAGACCTCTTTAATGTTTTAAAGAGCAAAGATTTCAGTTTGAAGACTAAGGTGAGCCTGATCCAATTTATGATATTTTCTTTCGCCACATATGCATTTGAAAGTTGTACAATGAATAAGAAACAACCATAGGAAAATTTATGTATTTTATTGGCATTTCCTCTCCTGAGTCAAAGAATATTAAAAGCATTATGGACTGCCAGAAGAGCAAAGAAAGATGTTTTGGAAGAAGTACATTCATACAGTCAGAATGTTCCTTAGAAGTGAGAATGGTGAAGCTTCATTTTTTATACTTTGGACAAGTTATCAGAGGTGACCAGTCCTTGGAGTAGTATATTATGCTTGGTAAAGTGGAGGGGCAACGAAAAAAAGGAAGAGCACCAACTAAATTGATTGACACAGTGGATCAAATACAGCAACAATTGGGAGACTGGCACAGGACTGCACAGTGTTTTGTTCTGTTAGGCGCTATTAGAGAGCACCAAAGGATAACAACAGCAGCAACTGCGTTTCCACTTTTATATTTAACTGTATATCCTAGAAATATATTGTTGTTGTTAAGTGCTGTCTAGTTGGTTCCGACTCATAGAGACCCTGTATAGGGTTTTCAAGGATCTGCTGAATAGTTTGAACCACCGACCTTGAGAGTTGGTTATATTATTATAACCGTATATACGGAGCCCTGGTGTGGCGCTGTGGATTAATGCATCAGACTGCGAAGTCATTTGAACTGCAAGGTCGGTGGTTCAAGGTCACTAGATGCTCTTTGGAAACCCTATACAAGGTCACTATGGGTCAGAATCGACTCGACGGCACTTAACAACAGCAACAACAATAATTTATATAATATATAGAACGTTAATCGGCTGTTTGAAGAACTTTACGGCAGCAATGCCCTTCCTCTGGAGCATTGTCTTTGCTCTAACCTGAATTTCATGGTGCCATTTACACAGACATTTTACCTAAATTCTTGGGGATAAAAGGCATTCTAGGGGGACACCGCCATTCAAAATGCCGGTGCCATAGCTACCAGAGTCAAAACAAGATTAAGCCACCACAGTATGTGGCATAGATGGTAAAGTGGCAGGCTATTAACCAGATAGTTGGTGGTTCAAATCTATTCAGAGATATCACAGAAGAAAGGTAGGGAGATCTGGTTCCAAAAAGTCACAGCCATTAGAACCCCATGGAGCATTCAGTTACATTGTGAACTACATAGGTTGCGATCAATCAGAATTAATTACGGTGAGAACTAGTTTGGTTTGATTTTGGTAAGAGAACATTTAGTTCACTTTTTAAAATGTTTTGAAAAGATCACATACATTTCAAATGAAACTCTTATTTTGAAACTTCCAGAGAATCATTGTCCAGACCACGACTGTTTTATTATACTTGTTATGCAAGACTCAAGAAATACAGCAGTCGTCAGAATTTCATACATTGTAGCTAAAATAGCTTCCTTTCCTGGGACAAGGATGTGCTGGGGCTGGTTGATCATTATTCAATTTTGATCAGAGCCTAAACCCTTTTCATTTATTATTATTTTTCCTAATTCTTATAGGGGTAGGTAGATAGTCCTAGTACCTACTCTATTTTCTATTTTTCTGTTTTTTTGAAACCAAAGACAAAGGATATGACTACAAATGACTTAGGGACTCTGGCCTTCTGAAGACAGAGAAAATTAAGTGGAAATAAAAGTTGTAGACTCTAAATAGGACTGTACTCATGTATCTGGCATTCTAATGGGTTATGTGGAGTCCTGATGTGGTGCTGTGGGCTAATGCTCCAGACTGCAAAGCCATTTGAACTGCAAGGTTGGCAGTTCAAGTTCACCAGCTGCTCCTTGGAAGCCCTATACAGGGTCGCTATGGGTCGCACTATGGGTCGGAATCGACTCGATGGCACTTAACAACAACAACAATGGGTTATGTGACCTTGAGCAAGTTATTTCACCTCTCTGGACATGGTTTTCCATACCAATCAGCAAGGTATTACTAGGTCCGCCCTATCATTTTAGCTTTTAAGTTTCTACATGATAATACTACAAATCTGCATCTATTAAATCTTTTGCAGTATGACTAAAAGATTATTCATTTGTTACAGAATTTTTTGATGCCTTCTGGCTTCCAGAATCTCAAGCTGCTGTGATGATAGCTTAAGAAGACTGCATGCTGTTCCCTCTAGATGCCAAGCCAGGCCCACTTAGAACCTCAGAACTCAATCTTTCATGGAGACCAGCTCCCAGCAGGAATGGTAGTAGAGGAAATTGGCACCCAGATGGTTCCTCCACGTGAAGTTGTCTTAGGATATGGGCCGATGCAAGAACACCTGGTAACCAGACTCGCCCTCTGTCAGTCATCCAGGGCAGGACAGCATGGCGAGCATTCGGAGGAGAAAGCTTTTGGCATCTTGCCTGTGCATCACAGCCACCATCTTTCTGCTTGTCACACTCCAGGTACCAAGAATTTAAGTTTTGTAGTCTTGATTCCTGGGCCTTTGCCACCTCCCCACATTTACCCCACTTTCTTAGAACTCCAAGTACTTTACTTTTTACCTATTTCTCAGGATCCCGGACATTTTTAACTGTCTAAAGCAAAGGAAGTACATTACTTCCAACTGTTTAAAATATGAAACAGATTTAGTGAATAGGTGTCAGGTAGCAACAAGCTAGGGAGATGGGGACTCAAGTTTGTGATTCTTGTAGATTTCCTGGTTCCAGAAGAACAAAGAAATAAAATTTATTGATTCTGTCTTGTTGGTTCTAAATTGGATGACTTCCTCAAAGTTCCGTATAGTTGTCACATCTGAAAAATGGCATTCTTGAAGAAGGAAGGACTATTCTGAGTACGATATGCCACTTTTAAAGGAAATGATACACATGGTATGTTTTTTTTTTTGAAACTGTAGAACTCACTCTAATGTTAATTTTGTATGCCTGCTGTGTGTGTTATATGTGTGTGTGAGTTACGAAGGTGTGTTGTATGTGAAAAATACAGCAGTCTATACTAAATGCAGAACAAAAACATGCTTTGCCATTCTTGACATATGCTAATGGAATTATAGGATCGCTATGAGTCATAACAATTACAACAGACATTTAGGGTTAATGAAATTAAACATTTCTTTAGTCTTCCCATTTATTCCTTTAAAGCAGTGTGGTACATTGAATTACTTAATATGGATGGCTCTTCTAGCTACAGTCTCTGTGACTCCCACACAATGATTGGCAGGACTGTGCAAATAAAGTGCTTGTGGTTCACCAAGGAGATTGGACAACTTGCTGCTAATGCAAATAAAACGTATGGAATCTGTTATGGTTCAGGTTATGTATCAACTTGACTGGGCCATGATTTTTAGTAGTTTGACAGTTATGGAATGATGTAGTCATCCTCTGTTTTGTTGTCTGATTAATTATTCTGTATTTTGTGATGTGTTGTAAATCCTAGTCTGTATGTTGTCTGTTATATTAATGAGGAAGCATTAGGGTGGGATGTGTCTTGAGTTATTGTCTTGCTAGATGTAAGACTCAAGTCATCACTCTTACCCCAATCACCACCTTACCACCCGGATTCAAGTCACAATCTTGTACTGTCTTGTTCATGTAAGGGTAGTTTCCTTGAGGGTATGATTTGTATCCAAAATGTATATGAATGCTCTGGCAAAGTTTCTTCTATTGCTCTGGATTCTCCATCTGGCTCATTATCATCTGACCTCTGGTTCTGGAGCCAACAGCCTATTGTCTGACCTAATTTACCAACTTTTGCAGCTATGTGAGCCAGCTGCCTGTTGCCTGGACTAATAAATAGGTTCATCAGCCTCTATAACCATGTGAGTCACGTGGTACTTCCGACCTGACATCTGACTCACAGACTGGGGACTTGTCAACCTCCACAATCTCATGATCCATTTCCTTGAAAATTTGCAAACTCTGTTAGATGTTGTGGTGAATTACGGAACCCAAATACAGAAGGGAGAGTACTTGAAGTTAGAGATGATGGTGTGCTACAGCAGCTTGGAAAAATTCTGCATTTGAGACATACAACCTCTACCTCATAAGAATCAACCAGCCTTGTGCTGATCCTTGTAAAAGAAATGATTAAATCAATCAGTTATCCTGGACTTCTTTCACTTATTTTAAGTTAAAATAAAAATTATACAGTGATAGAAAAATGATAGACATAAATTCAGGTATATTTTGCATCTATTGGAATACCAGCTGTCCATCTGAAAATCAAAATTTAAAGATTATTGATGTAAGTAGGTCATGCATTAGGTCTCATTTTTGCCATGGTGATGCAAGTTCAATCTCACCAGCCACTCCTCGGAAACGCTATACATGGTCTCTATGATTCAGAACTGACTTGGTGGCTCTTAACAACAACAACTGGTACATTGAATGATTCAATATTTACGTTGCTGCAGTGCCTTTTTTGTTGTTGTTTAACACGATAAGCACTGAACTGTGAAAGACAAGGTCTGTGGTTCGAGTCTATCAGTTGCTCTGTGGGAGAAGATGAAGACTCTCTGCTCCAGCAAAGATTTAGCCTCAGAAACCGCTATGAATCAGAACAGACTTGATGGCACTTAACAGCAATAGCAACATGCATACATGACCTATTCTGGTTTTACTGGTTTATAGGCTAGGCAGATAAAATAATCTTCTACCTGAGTTGGGTAAACCCAAAAGCCCAAACCTATTGCCATTGAGTAGACTCGGACTCATAGCTACCCTGTAGGACAGAACAGAGCTGCTCTTTAGGGTTCCCGAGACTGTAAATGTTCATTGCAGCAGACAGCCTCACCTTTCTCCTATGCAGTGGCTGGTGAGTTTGTGTTGGAGACCTTTAGGTTAGCACCCCAATGCTTAACCCACAGCACCACCTGAGTTCCTTTGAGTTGGGAAAAGGAAGGATTAATTAAAATGTCATGTCATGGATTGTATAACAGAAATGATTTGGTTAGCAACAATCTAAATATGAATCTCTGTTTTCCCCCAGTTAAGCTAAACATTATTTTCTGGAAGTAATTACTTATCTTAGGCTCACATTTAACTGTATTTTAAATATATGGTTTGTAAATTTTGGGGTGCATACTTTTGAATTTTGCTTGCTGTTATTAAAAAACATTTTATTGTGAATTGAGTCAAGGTTTACAGAGCAGATCTTCAGTTTTACGTTCAACAAATCTTATACTTTGATTCACCACAATGATTGCAATCCCCTCTACGTACCATAAGTTAACAGTATTTGTATTGCTGTTGTTAGGTGCTGTTGAGTTGGTTCTGATTCATAGTGACCCTAGATAGGGTTTCTGAGGAACAGCAGGTGAGTTTGAGCCTCCAACCTTGCTTTTCAAACCGACCTTTCAGTCCAGTGCATTATCCTTCAGTGCCACACCAGGACTTTACCTCTATTCATTTTAACTATCGCATTCTTCCTTGTGTCTCCCATTACCTTTGTTTTTCCTCTGCTAACCTTCCTCTTGTTGCATATTGCCTGCCCTGCCACCATGTTAACATGTGTCTGCCTTGTAGCCTGTGAATAACTTTCCCTCTCTTCCTGTAACCATCATAGAATATATTTTTTTAAATCAAGAAAACCTTTTCTTAATTTTTTACAACACTGGCATTATACAATATTTGTCCTATTGTGATTGACTAATTTATTCTAGGTTCATCCATATTGTGAAATGTTTAGCAGCTTCATCATTGTTCTTTAACACTGGGTTGTTTTTCATTGTGTCTGTGTACCAAAGTTTGCTTAATCATTCTTCTGTTGATTGGCACTTTTAAAAACATGTCTTTTGTAGATAGCATATTGAAGAATCCTGTTTTCTTACCCATTCTGCTACTCACTGTCTCTTGACTGGTACATTTATTCCATTGACATTCAGTATAATCATTGATTGATTTGCTAAGAGTCGGAACCAACTCGATAGCACTTAACAACAGCAGTGAATTGATTACTGTCATTTTGCTGCATGTTTTTTTGTGGTTCTACTGGTTTCTTTGTCCCACATAATTTTCTGTGCTGAATTCATTTTGTTTGTGAGTTTTCTTTTCCTTTTGGTTGTGTTAAAGTTTACTAAATCTTTCTGATATTCCTTCTTTTTATTTTGATGTGAAATTATATTGATTATTTTTGAAGTTACCTTTTAATTAATTTTTTTCCCATTTAAAACAGTTTTTTTTTTTAAATCTTGAAACCTACTTGACTTTCTTGCCATTTGAAACTTCTGTATCTACACTATTCTCTCTTTTTGTTTTGCAGTTGACTTCATTATAACTTTATGTCTCTGGCTCTCTCTTTTCATTCGCATAAGTTTGCTTTACTTTAAATACTTCTGTATCTGGAGTACTTGTGTGGTACTCTTGGATAAGCACTGGACTACTAACTTCTAGGTTGGCAGTTCAAACCCACTACTTGCTCCCTGGAAATCCTTTACAGGAATACGGTGAGTCGGAACTGACTTGACAGTATTTAAAAAAACCCAACATATCTGGAGTGAGTTCTGGGTCTCGTTGTCATGTATGTTAATCTGAGATTGTTGTTGGTTCTCTGTCTAAAGAACACCCTCTAATATTGTTTATAAAGTTGGTTTGGTTATTACACATTCTTTCAATTTCTGTTTCTCTGTAGTGCTGTGGGCTAATGCGTCAGACTGCAAAGCCCTTTGAACTGCAGGTTCGGTGGTTCAAGCTCACCAGCTGCTCCTTGGAAACCCTATACAGGGTCACTATGGGTCAGAATTGACTCAACGGCACTTAACAACAACAATTTGAGGGACAGCTTTGCTGGATATGTGATTCTTGGTTAGAAATTGTTTTCTTTTAGAGTTTCATATATGTTTTCCCATTGTATTCTGTTTTTTAAAGAGAGATAAAATCCTTTATTATTATTAGGAAGTCAACTACCAGAACACCTCATAGCATACAGACTGGTTTAACTGATGGTCAATGGTGGTAGTGGTTGTATGCCATTGAATTAGTTCTGACTCACATCAAGGCTGTAAAAATCCTTACTGGAGCAAAAGCCTCATCGTTCTCCTTAGGAGTGGCTAGTTGATTTGAACTGCTGACTTTGTGGTTAGCAGCTCAACCCACAGCCCGCTACACCACCAGAGCTCCTTTGACTCTTAATTACAAGCAATGTTTATATTAGTTTTCAGCAATCCTAATTAGTACAGCATATCAGTGGGCTATAATTCTGTCATTCTAACATTCACACTAAGTCACACGGTGCTCCATTAAACACATCAAAAGGACGAACATGGTTAGCTACCTTGTCCTTTTCAGAAGATATACAAACAGGGCTCCAAGTGAAGCTTGTTGTTAAGTGCTGTCGAGTTGGTTCTGACTTGCTGCGACCCTAAGTAGGGTTTCCAAGGAACAGCTGGTGGATTTGAACTGCCCACTTTGTGGCTCACAGTCTAGTGTTGATCCTACAGTGCCATACT